CTCACCCCGTGCCTCCCCCCTGACTTTTCGAGTATGGCGTGAGCGGTTGGCTTCACGTATGTGTGCGCGTGTGTGTGTATGCATAAATTGCGGCACTGAGCAAAACGTTCGTTTCTCGAGAAAACGGTCTTGCCGCTGATAGGAACGAGAGAGGGGGAGGGAAGGACTGAATTGTTGCCGTGAGGCCAAAAGAGAATGGTGAATTCTTCCAAGAAAACCATGCATTCATCGTCATATGAACAGATGGTATTTTCAATCACCAACCTTCAATCTTTATCAGGCTGGACAAACAGCAGTACATATCTGGGACAATCAGTGTTTGGAATGAGAGTCGACATTGCTGATGAAAACCGTCTTGACTACAAGAAAACTTGCAACTCTCGCCTTGGTGACAATCTTAGAAACTATACCGCCTTTTGATTTTCTTTTCTCAATCACATCCACCTTGGCCTTGTTATTTACTTTTTATATCGTTTCAGAAGTTACCAACGTGTTGAAGTTTGAATGGTTAAAGTTGTTTTATGCAGAAATATTTTCTTATTCAAAATTTCTGTTGGGTATCGCTTAGCCTTCTGGTTCTTAGTCCTCGAATAGCACTTCGCTGCTTCTGTCGGACGCAAATGGTTGTTTGTCACTCAATGCGAGGCTTGTAAAAGCCCCGCCCACTCATCCCGACCCAACTTCATCACACACACACACACACACACACATCCTTTGTGCTTGAGATCCGGGGACGAATATGCACTACTGCTGAGCTCTAATCGGAGTGAAGCTCGAGTCTGAGTTATCATGACGGTAAGACTGGTTGAATGAAAGCGAGAACTGCGCACAGTGATAAAATCTCAGGAGAACAGATATAAGTAGTACCAGTCGCCCACCACCACCACTACGGATAAGTGTTAGGAAGGAAAAAATTTTCTCTGGTTTATCAAATATCAAACCGCGCCGCTTTTTAGGAGTTATATAGAAAAAAATCATGCTTCATGCGGATTCACTTCCTTCCTAAATTGAGAATGATTCGTGGAAATTAATTATCCTATGGATATCAGTATCTCGCGTATTCTGGAGCGGTACAGAGAGACACACTAACGGAACTAAGATTATAATTGGATCTGTGTACGTGAAATCCGCAGAAGTCGCTGAGTGGTTCAAACGGGGTATCAGTAGGTCATCTCCCAGTGCAGTCAAATTTGCCGGATATTAGCATAAAAACCTCCGCACTCCGCGCTGATAAACACTTGATTAGATTACTTCGGGTTGTATTATCGTGTTCAATGTACAACCGGTGGCGGCAGTGTTGTCCTTGTTTGAAAACGTTGCCAAATGAACTCATCATTGGAAAGGAAGTTGGTCAATCGTCAAACAGATACTCCTGGATCAAGTTGATAGGTCGCTATGGCTCTATGTACTAACGTGTAAACATTCACAATATTCAACCCAGTTTGTTTTACTGATACGTAGTCAACACGCCAACCTCGAAGGTTTTTTTCTCTCCATTTGCATCCCGTTCTTCACGCGCTCCTTTTGTTTCTGTTGCACAGAGGTTATTCTGGTCAGTGCTGTGGGTGCAGTGATATTCGGTGTATTCGTGACTCTGGCCGTGGTCTTGGGTATCGTGTTCTACCGGTAAGTGGTACTGTTTTTCGTATTTCAATGTGCATATTTGTGGCTATCTGCACCGGGCACAGACGCCCTTAGAAGCACCCACGAGCGCGAGCATGCAACTCCGTTTAACGAGAAGTCCCATTGCGTCAAAAGTATAGGAATTCCATGCACTTCTTTGGTGATATATATATATATCCTGGAAACTCCTCTCCTATTACCTGTTCATAGGATTTCTCATTTCTTAATAAAAGTACGTCTCTCACAGAAGTTGCGGGGGATTATGTAACAAAAATAAACAACCAAGGGTATCGTTGTTTACTGATTGCCCCACTTAGTACAATCTTCCGTTGGTCGGTTAGTCGGCCTGTAGTCACTCAGGTGCAACGTAAGCCCTATAACTCTCCTGAGCACATTGCATTGTAGTCGGAGGTTAAACGCTGTCATAGACCGAGCGCATAATGGGAGAAAAAACTTGGAAGCTTCGTCAGGTTGAAAAATAAAAGATTTCTACACAAACAATATGCTACGAATCGAACAGAGATTGTTTTCCACTTCCTTCCTTCTATCGCTCTCTCGCTCTAGCACGAGTCAGAAACCTAACAGTAAAATTACAACGGAGATCTAAGCAACAGTTAGGGCTTTGCAGGCACTGTGAAAAAGGAATGCCGGTAAAAAAAGCAATGATCTGGAATACGCAAGAATCTTACGCGCCAAACTGAAGCAGTTTGGTTCAAATCCACAGAGGGATTTCACGATTCATATGAAATATGCTTGACTATTTATTTTCAGCTGGTTTACCAGTTTACACATCTACATAGCGTGTTTTGTGGATGGAATGAATTGCCCGTCGTAGTTGTTCGGATGATCAAAAAGATTTGTGTAATCCTCTATCTGTTACAGGACTCTGTCTATCTGTCTGTCGATGCAAGCAGCTACACACCCATTCCTGAAACTCTGTATATTGCGATAGAAAAAAAACGCGTGGATAATGGAACCTGTCATGTGCTGTCTACGAGCGCAATGGGAGTTAATGATGAAAAGTGATTACTGTGATCCGGAACTGAGGGTACATCAGTAGCTTACCGAAATGAGAGTGAATACCAATGGAAATGATGAGTATT